TCAGCTAGCAACAGCGACCTATGATCTCAAGCAATAAACGGCCCCATATGAATCAAGTTTTCACCCTCACATTTCCTCTATTATTTATTTATTTCTTAAAAGCAAACGAACCTATTTTCGGCAAAAATTTATTTCAAAGGGCCGATAACTCTTGATTGATAGAATTTCAGTTAGCAATTCCTTATCCTCTCAATAGTATTTAAAGACGTTGTTTAATAATTTACACCTACAGTACATTTTAATTACCTGCCGACTTCATGAGTAATATTTAAATCGATAAACTCAATGGTCAAAGGTTCAAGAATAGGAATACCCAGTTCGGGTATTCCCATGACCATCCGTTTTCTAAATTCCTCAAGGAGATTGATAATTTTTTCAGTTGCAGTCCCGGCCCCATTGATTATCCTTAGAATTGTATTTGTCACAATACTGACGCCTCCATTCACAACTCCAGTTACCCCAGTGACAACGTCTACAAAAAAATTAAAACAATTTGATAAAAAGTAGTAAATTACACAGTTCCTGTAGAAATAAAATACGTGTAATTAAGTGATATTTAATAATTGTTACATGAAAATGCCATTATAATATTACTGATTGTCAGTTTTGAAAAAACGTAAAACCATTCTCCATATGAATATTTATATTTAGTAGGTACCTAGTAGATAATCAAACATAATTATAAACAATAATTGCTCTAATTTGATCTTCAACATCGCATAATAAAACAATTATCCGAGTAGATTTATATTAAGACCTGATGAAAAAAAATATGTTAACCCAAGAAAATTATAGCTGATAGATATTGTCCTTGAACAAGAGGCACTGTTAATTACCTTATTTCTTTTATTTATTTATGCGAAAACTGCGAAAATTTCAAGTTGTACCTATGTCATTACTGTAATCAGAAATCAGCAAAAGAAGAGTTTTATGAATGTAATGTCTTAATTATCCTGATTAGGAGAGGATTTTGTCTATCCTCTGCATAGTTTCCATACTCGCCTTCGGCTTGTGTAGCGATTTCCACGAGGAGGAAATAAAACATTTTTTTCAAAAACAAGAAATGTGATTTCTTGCCTGGAAGGTTGTGTTGCAATACCTCCTCGTACTTAAAATAAGGAAAATCGTACTTTCGAAGCAGGTGTATGGTAAATCACTACATAGTATAAAACAAAGTCGCTTACCCGCTGTCTGTCCCTATGTATGCTTAAATCTTTAAAACTACACAACGGATTTTAATGCGGTTTTTTTTTAAAGATAGAGTGATTCAAGAGGAAAGTTTATATGTATAATACATGCATAATATAGTAGGGAAACACTGATAATTTTAGAGGTTTCTAATGTGATGTCGTAGAGAAACACATTTTTTGCGCTTACATTGCAAATGCTGGCTGAATCCTACGAGATAGATCAAAATAATGTACTACAATATTGTACATCTTAAAAGGGTCTACAAAAAAGTCCGGGATGGTATATGTCTATCTCTTAGGGATAACCCACAATAACCATTTTTATCCTTTACTTTTTATGAGAAATAATGACTTATTTACGAAG